GCGAAGTAATGTGAACAGAGATCGAAATTCAGTTTTCATAAGTTGGCACACCTGCTGTGCCTATTCTGTCGACTCTTTTATCAAAAAAACAACATAACCTCAAAATCTTATTAGTATATTGTTCAAAACACGTGTTTGTGTTTTATATCAATGTTGTATCTCAGGTTATGTGCAAGTTGGTGTTATTTTTATTGATTTAACTGTGTAATCAGGTTTAACTTTTTAATATGGATATCACTCCTAGGAAAAGAGAAAGGATTATAACATAGCTGCTTAGTGAGCATATACCAATGACTCAGAGTGGCATTGCAAAGGAGTGTTATGTAAGTTTGGGTGCAGTAAACAAAATAATTAAACAAAAAAAAACGGAACTCTAGATGAAGCCTTTCTTTTGCGCGATAGCAAACTTCATCCCCGAAAAACAAGTTATGACCTCCAGCTTCATCATGATCATCTTGGTGTTACAGCCCTTAGAGGGCCTCGACCTTCTCAAGGTTGCGGGTTGCGCTGTTAGAATCTTTTTTATCATGTTTATGACCTCCAGCAAGATTTAGAAAAGGCTGCAATAAAAATTCACTACTCAACGGTACGCAGACGTGTCTTAGAAGGAGGGAGAAGAGCCGTGAGACCGCAGAAGAAACAACTTCTGACAGCGCCTATGATGAAAAAAAAGATTAAATTGGGCAAAAAATACGCTCATTGGAGAAAAGTGTTATTTTCTGATGAGACCCACTTCCTAGTTCAGGGCCAGCGATCAAAGTTCGTACAAAAGGCAGCCAATGAGTCACTTTCAGCTAGCCATATTAACCAAACAGTTAAACATCCCACCAAAAAAATGTTCTGGGGCTGTTTTTCCTACTCAAGAACTGGCACTCTTATTCCTATTGAAGGTATGATGAACAGTGAAAGGTTCAAAGCCATACTATTGCAACGTTTAGCTATAGAGCTTGAGAAAGTACAGGCCGAAGGGACTGCAATTTTTCAACAAGATTCAGCTCCGTGCCATGTATCGAAGGTTATGATGAAATACTTCAAGGATAATATTACCCTTCTTGATTGGCCTGAGAATTCACCTGACCTTGATCCTATTGAAAATTTGTGGGCAATATGTAAGGCTAAACTGCTAACATTTGACTGTATGACAAAAACAAAAATGGTGGAAGCCATGATTAAGGTGTGGTTTAGAGATGAAGCAATCACAAACAATTGCAAAAAACTTGTGAATTCCATGCCTAGAAGACTCCAGGAAGTCATAAAAGTAAAAGGGGGACATATTAAATACTAATTAATGAAATCTCATGTAAGTATCCCTAAATTTACCTTTGGCCTACATAAATCATATTTAAAATTTAATTCTGTTTGTTCACATTAATTCGCACAATACTGTAGTTAAGATGTCATGACTTCTTTTTACGTTAAAGCAACGATTGCCCCAGAGATATGTTTCTGGATTGCCCAATCAAATTGACAATAGCTCGCCACATTAGCGAGATACAAGGCGATTATTGAAAAATGTCGAAAACGACAGGGTTAACTATCTTCTTGGTTGAGTTTACCTAAAGTACAAGCTGAATATAGCCGCAAATGTCAAAAATATTTTAGTTTGGCAGTGTTGGCATGTGTAAAGAGATAAAGCTTTTAAAAAGTACATTTTGATTATACCATTTTATGAATTCCGCAATTTTCAATTTATATAAAGCAATACGGGTAAATGATTGTCTCTTTCAAGATTAATTGCAAACATCTGACAACTGCTGATTTGACGATTGCCGGATCTATACCCTAATCTATAAAAGGATAAATCAAAATGCTAAAGAAAATTCGGTTGAGTTTACCGAAAGTACAAGCTGATATAGCGGTAAATGTCAAACATGGAACAAAAAATTTGAGTATAGCAGTGTTGGCATGTTTTTATAATGTAAATAATAAAAACATGCTTAATATAATACAGCTTAAATAATACAATAATAAATGAATCCAAATCCATTGTGATCCCGACCGCTTGGTTCTGGGAATTTGTCAAGTTAGGAAACTGAAAACCGGAACAACGCATAATTAATATAAGCTTCCGAGTGCACCTCACGTAAAAACTCGTTAGTTTGTTGTATAATATTTCCTTGTAAAAGGGTTTTATACTCGAGGTTTCGGTTCTCGGATAAGTATTCGATTCCTAGTCACAGACTCATTTAAGGATTTAAATTTCAGTCAGTTTTTTTTACACGTATTTAAAACATATTTTATTTTTTCTTAAATAAACGAATTGCAAAACAATATGAAATTTAAGATCTACCGATTTTACTCCACAATCTACCGATTTTTAAAAAGATTTCTACCGATTTTATTTTTTTACGTTTGGGAACTCTTCGTTCAGTACAGAAAATAACATCATAACTAAGGTTAGGTATTAGTGGTCTGTGAGCACAACTCTATCAACGCCATAGATAAAGAATATATATTACCAAGTCTAGCCGTGGTTTGGGTTTAATATGCGACGCTCCGTCTAACTGGTAGTCAATATTATTAAAAGCCCACAGAGACAACGTAACAGGAAATTAAAAATTAGGTATTCGTTTGAAGAAAGAACGTCGAAAAAAATCACTTTCAAATGTTATATTTTAAGCGAAGAAGAAAGACAGCAGATATTTCAAAAATTCTAGACAAGAAAAAGGAAAGAGTAAGGGTGTGCAAAACCATGTTTTGCAACACGCTTGGTGTGTCTACTGGTCTATGAGAAATATTACTCATTGATTAAGTGGAAGCCTCAATTCACCAGAAACCAAACAAAGTAATCGAGTAGAAACTACAAAAAGTAATGATTTCGACAATAAGAAGCAGTTAAAAAATTATGAGAAAAAAGAAACAGTAAGAGATTTTTTTAACAGCTTGTTAATCATTATTGTCTGAAATCTTCTATACTAAACTATATCTAGAGCCACGCTGGAAAACCAAAACTGAATTGTATGACTTTTACAAAAATGTCTGGTTAACAGATAGAAAAACAGAACCGGCTGGATTGACCCTATTTAAATATATTTTTGAGGAGGCAAATTTGCCTTTATCCAGTCCTAAAAAAAAAGAATGTGATATCTGTGTAGGATATCGAACACAAAACGTTTCAGAGTTAGTTTATCAAGAACACAGAATTAAAAAAGATGAGGCGCGTAATGAAAAAGACAAGGAGTCACTAAATCAAGTTTTTACTATGGATCTTCAATCTGTTCTATTGTGTCCACAGTCAAACGTGTCTGCGCTCTATTATAAAACTAAATTTATTCTTCACAATTTTACTATTTTTGATCTTCATACAAAGGATGGTTACTGTTTTTTTTATGGCACGAGGGAGAAGGAGAGTTAAAGGCGAACTGTTTTGCCTCGATTATTTGCACTTTTTTATGTACCAAAGTCTTACCAAACATGGATCCAAACAACAAATTTATTATCCTTTACAGTGACGGTTGTGGTGCACAGAATCGCAATTCCACTTTATCGAATGCCCTTTTAAATTTTTCAATGGAAAATAATGTTTGTATTATTCAAAAATACTTAGAGAAAGGGCATACACAAATGGAATGCGATTCTATGCATTCGACAATTGAAAGGAAGATTTCAGGAAGGGTAATAAATGTACCAGCCGACTATGTTAATTTTATAAAAAATGCGAGAAAAAACCCAAGACCTTATGATGTACAATATTTAAACAATGCTTATTTTAAAGATTTTTCTAAAATCAACTTGGTCAAGTCAATTTTGTCCTGGACGTAAAACTGGTGACCCTACCGTGCAAAATATTAGAGCATTAAAATACAATTCAGACGGATCAATAGAATATAAGATTAAGCATTCTGACGAGTTTCAGATCCCTCCCGTCAGATTCAATAAGAAGTGCTCAATTGTTCCCATGGAAAAACTGCCAAAACACCAAGGTAAATTAAAAATTAAACAGGAGAAATTTGAACATCTTCAATCCCTAAAAAGTACCATGGAACCAGATTACCGTCCTTTTTATGATTGAACTTAAGTGTACCGTCTTGAACATGATTAAGCTTAATTTTTGTGCGTAATTTTTATTTTTAGTTAATAAAGATTTATAATGTCTAGCGTTTTGTTCTTTTTTAGCGACTAATAAATTTTTTTTAATAAAATAATAGTTTTCTTTTTAAATGAAATTTGCGTAAGTCCAAATATGTAACTAATTTTTGTGTGATTTTTGCCTAAGTCCATTAAATTATCCAAATTAAAAGCATACGATGTTTCTTTTAACATTCCCAAAATTATTTTTCAAAACTAACATGATTCCAAATAAAACTACAAGTAATATAATAACTCTAAGATAAAAACTGTTTTTTTCACTTCCTATAAAATTTACATTTTGGTACTTAGGCAATTTTCATATGATGCCGACGATATGCCTCTCGTAATTTTTAAAAGTTTGCAATTTTCAAACTTCGCACTTTAATAATAACGAACACTGGTCCCAGGGGACCGGTAACACAGTCAAACTGTTAAGACACATTTTGGTTTTTTGTCGATAGAACTCTGATCAAAAAATAATGAATTTTTACCATGGAGTTGATACAAATTTTATTTAAAATTGATTTCACTGTTTTTTTTTTCTGAGAGAAATATTCATTCTACATAAAAAGTGCCAAAAAACAATTTTGTTCAAAATTATCTCGGCTATATTTTTTATTTAAAAAAAATTTTTCTACAGCATACATATTCTTGGTAAATTGATTTTTTCTGTTTTCCCTCCCCACAGGATAGGTTTAAGGGGTAAGCCTGGGGGTAGGAATGGTAAACTTTTATGCATAATTTTTTTTTGGAGTCCTAAAATTGACATTTTCTGCATTCAGCTTGTTGCTATGATTTTTAGAGGTTCAGTGGCATTTTTGTCTCTGGTGACTGGAGTATTTGGTTTTTTTTTAATTTTTAGTTATTGAACTTTGATATTACTAATTCCAAGATATTCTCATAACTAATTCCAATAACACAAAAAAATATAATTTTCAACAATTTTATTTGTATTGAAGTTCTGCTGCTTTGTCACATTTACTGACACTATCATTATTAAGAATATAAAATCTAAGTGGCTTTGTATTCCATTCTTCTGCTCTCTTAATGCCTATTCTCGCTGAATGTACCACTGTAAAATCTTGCTCAAACTCTGAATCATCTTCTAGCCATAAATTATTATTTTTTAAATCTGTTAAGTCTAATTTATTAATATATTCTTTAGTTATGTCCATTGCAATACATAGTTTTGAAGGTCCATCACATAATTTGGCAGGTTTGAAATTTTTTATTGATTTATGTTTTTGAGCTATAAAAAATTTATTAGAGATCTTTTTATTTCAATTATGAATTATATCTAGTTTACCTCTGTGTTTCTCCATAACATCAAACCCTGCTAAAGGTTGCAGGGCTCTTAACAGTACTGCAGCACCTGGTTCCCTGCTGGATACATTAAAGCAATGATACATTCCATAAGTCATGTACACATAACAGGTACCTGGTGGCATATACATCGGTTCATTTGCTTTAGTCCGTCTTTAAAAAACAGAAAATTAACATTAAGTTTAATAAAAACAAAATGGTTAAGAGATTTCTTGCCTTCCATTGTATGAATGTGACGCCTTATCTTCACCTTAAAAATAAGAAAGATAAATGAATATTGAATTATACATTCTTGCCTGTTATTATTCGTATTTGATACTTTATATTCACCTCCAAGATAGCTTTCAGTTTCAACTATCCTCCCTTTTAGAATTATGTTGTCTTCTAATTTACGAACTAATATTTTCCCAAGGAGATATAAAGCTAACTCCTTACAAGACTTATCCAAATCTTCCTTCAACAGCCTAGTGTGGCTTAGATTCATATTTAAAAGTTTGATGTAGGTTTTAGTGGTTTTACAGCAATCGCGAATATTATATTCGTGGGTTTATCTAAATTTGATTAGTTTGTTCCTTTGTTCTGTTATGTTTATAAAAATATGTTATTTCAAATATTTGTAGGTTATATCATGATACTATGATCAAAGAATATAGACGCTTATAGAAGAGCAGTTCAAATAGGCCATTTGGTTACGGTTTATACGTCAAAACACTCCTTAAGAGGGTGGCTGCATAAACCCAAAGCGTGGTGCCGTGGCCGTCGGCTTAATGAAATATGTAGTTAGGGGGAAGTGGGAAAGGAGTACGAACCGAGCTATTTATGTAACTTTGCATCTACGCCTAAACAAATTTCGATGCCATTGATTTGCAAACTGTCTTTTTTTTGTTTTTTCACAATAAAATCTTTAATTTTAATATATTAAATTGTTAAATTTTTAATTTTAAAACTTAAAAATGTATGATATTTACAATATTCAAAGTATTTATTTTTTTAATTTCATAACTTTGAATTAAAAATATTCATACACATATCCTACATTACGAAACACCGTCACATAACTTTTTATTATACTGTTTTTCTGCCCAAAAATTAACGAAACATTTGTAAAAAATTTCAAAATTTTTCAACCAAAAATTTAATTTTTTCAGGACTTTTCGTCAAACTTTTTAGATAATTTTTCAAATTATTTCATTGAACAAATGTCCTGTTCAAAAAAGTATTCAATGAAACTTTTTACTAAATTATGAAATTTTCCATTTCGCCGAAACTTGCATTTCATCCATAATTTTTTAATAAGAACAAAAAGCATTCCTGATTTATTTTTGAAATATTTAACAGTAACTTTTAATGAATAGTCTATGTGAAAGTTTTTACGCTGTATGGGCACTATTTAATCTTTTAAAATAACAACTAGTACTAAAACATAATTAACTAATAAAGGTATTAGTAATATTATTAAAAGGAAAAATAATAATATTTATAATATTAATGACATTCTGTGTATAACTTAAAATATAAAGCAGTGAAATAAAAGCATAAAAAAAATTGAACAAATAGATAAGGTATTGAAGAAAATAATCTAAAAATTGTTATAGCTGAATGTATTCGCTCCGTGCGTGACCATGGTAGGGGGTACCTTGAAACGATGCCAGCGTGCTTAGCGGCGAAATATGACCTAATTGGACCTATCTTTTTACGCATAAATTTTATCAAAAATGAGTACAAATACATGTTGCGTATTTAATTGTGCTAATAATAGCAAAAATATTGAGTGTAGTTTTTATAGGTTCCCAAAGATTACATATAAATTAAAGAAAAGAAAAAGATGGATTTGTGCTATTAGCATGAAAAAGTAAATATCACATAATTTCATTTTTATGCTATTGAAATAGGAAAAATTTTAATAATTTACCTTAAATAATATTTCATAAGGCTTCAAGCTAACTGCCTGATGACTTTAGCTTTTATATCATAACTTTTATTATTATTGTTTTTAATTATATGGTCTTTCACGTGAAAAACTTAATTTTCCAGTACTAGATTTTTCCATTTCTTTTCCGTTTGGGTTGAAAAGATATATTATGATGAATTGTGAGAAACCCAGTTTTAATACTACATTTATTTTGTACATAAACTGAAAAAATATAATTAAAAAACTAATTATTAATAATTGTCAATTTCGCATGTATTTAACAATGTCAAACATATGTCATATGTTTAACCTGAAAATTGGGGGGTCCAAAACTGTCAGATGAAGGCGGTAGGTGTCGCGTGAGTTACGCACGGAGCAAATATTTAAGAAATTTTTATTCTAAAATTGAAATTGCTTTTTTACATTACCTATTGATGATCTATTGATAACTAAAAATTCTAATAACCGTTGTCGATGTGATTTACAAGAGTCGTCAATGATTAAAAATGATGGATTGATTTCATTTAATTTTTTTTATACCATTTAAAATCAACTTACTGACAATTTCCAAATAACAAACATTTTTAAACTTAACATCAAAAATATCAAGTGAAATATGTATTACTTCTGTAGGTACGCAAAGATTACCAAGTTTGTTAGTATTTTGAGAAACTTTATAAGCTTTAAAAAATAATAAAAGATCTGTCATTGAAATAAAATTAACATTTTTATGAACAAAATAATTTTCACACTTTTCACAATTAGTTTTTTTAGACATTTGTATGCAAAATATCCGGCAAGGTACTTGAGTGAATTGAGATAAAGAGAAGTTGAGCCAGTCGAAGATGCATTATTTGATACTCTTTCAAATATTGATAAACATTTAAAACTCGTTTCTGAAAGTTCCTCATTGATGGTCACATTTGTATCAAATGATTTACAATCAAAAACTTCATTCAAGCTAGAAGTACTATCTAATTCATCTTCGACAAAGTCATCAACTTCCTTATAAGATATTATCGAATCATCATTATCGCTATTACAATCTTGTGCATCTGAAAACCGTGAGCATTTGTTTAAAGGATCATTAGAATAAATAGTATTCTTAATATTTGCATCATGTTTTTCTGACATCTCATCCCCTGCATCCATAAAAGCGCAAACCTCTAAATCAGTTACAGAATCAATACGTTTATTATTAAAGCTTATTTGTCCATCATTTTTTTCTTCAATAACTTCATTTAATTCATCGAATGATTTTTGTAAATCAATTAAATTCGGAATTGCTATATAGTAGCGTTATAGTTTCATCTAATTACGTGAGGAGGGTCATAATTAAAAAAAAAAAAATTCGACCAAATTTTTCAATGGATGGTTTTTCTGGCGTTATTCCAAATTTTTTATCGCAGTTTGACTGCTACGGCCGATATCGCAAACCACACTTTTAACTTTAAAACCGGCTTCTTCAGAGAAATCTAAATCATTTAGAATTAAATTGCTTAGTTTTTTTCCAGGTACACAGTTATGGGCGACATAGTACTTAATAGATTGCCTCCAATCAGTTTGTCTACCTCTTAACATGAAAACTAAAACGTGATTACCTTCTGTTGGAGAGCGACCTAGTTCTCCCAAATATGTGAACCCCTCGACGATATCTTTTTTAGTATTATAATCTAGCCACTTTTTTATGCTCATTTCATCCCACGATAAAACACATTCCTTTTCTTTGGAGTGCATTAGCGACGATTTAATTTGTAATAATGTCAACAAAGTGTTACATTTACCGGGTTTTAAATCTAACTTATTAATCCAAATTCTAATGTTACTTACGCAATGGAAACTTAAAATGTTTTTTTTTTCTCTCGAAGGTAGCAATACGATATTGGAGATCTATAAAATAAAGATATAGCATACTGTTTATCTTTTTCAGTCCATTTACTTTTCTGAATATGGCTAATTTGCCTAACTAAAAATACTTTTATTTCGTCATCAAGTTTATTAAATAATTTTTTGAACTTTATTGCTTCGTTTGAAGCTTTTGTACGTTTATTTCATTTACGAGTTAAGTTGTATATAACATATATACTTGGTTTTTATACCTATTAATCACTTTGTTTTTAGATTTACTTTTTGCCTCATATTTGTTTACAATTTTATTTATTTTTAACTCTCTATGTAGTTTTTAATCGTTTTAATGCATCTTGTGCATTTTTAACTTCTTCATTTTTTTTATTTAATTGGATTTGGACTGAATTTTTCTGAATACAATTATCGCTTAAGTTAGGGTAGTTATTAGAAAATGAAGAAAAATTTTGGTCACAATTTGAAAAATCCAACGACGAAGACATGTGTGCATCATTTAGATTTTGACGGTATGGTTCACTTTTAAGTGATATAGGAATTTTGAGATTTAATTAAGAGTCATTACTGAATAAATATTTATTGTTAATTGTTGAATAAGAATTATCAGTTCTATTTTGCAAAGCTTCGAATATAGCAGAGGTTACCTCATTTTTAAGAATAGCTGTAGGTTTTAATATATTCTTACCGTTTTGGTTTATTGATTTTATATTGCTATCAGTAAAATGATAGCTGCAAAGAAATTTTTGACCAACTTGATTCTCTGTTAAATCTAGAAGAGTCGAATTTCCGGAATGTCGAACCCACAGATGACGTCTAGATAAAGTTATAATTTTTAAGTAGTAAAAAATAAAAATAAACTTTTTATTTTTCTAATTGCGTTGTCCGAACAATATTTGATGTAATTGTACTATAATTACTCAGTATATTTTGACAAAGGTTCATTTAAAAATTAAATTAAAAGTTTCAAAAAATAATTTTTTTTGAAGCTTGGACAATTGTCATTCAGCCAGTCTCGATCAACAGAAGTTTATTTAAAGAATTTAAATAGGTATAATACAATTACAACGATAAACCTCAAATTACATCTTACAGACCTCATAATTAAAAATAATGGTCTCTATAGTCTATATTAGATATACGAATAAATAACACGTTTCGCCTAATACCTCAAATTAATGAAAAATGTAAATATTGCAATTATAAATCTGTATGGCAAAATAAGTTACTCAGATTTAATAATTGCATTTTTGCACACAAATTTAATATCCATACTTGTCAATACAATCGACATACATTTAATTTAATACTTTTTTTATTTTATATACATACTTATATAACTATGAGAAATTCAGAATAATGTTATTTGCATCTAAATTCTACATTCTTTGTCAGTGAAAGGAAGGTAACGAAAAAGGTCTGTTGGCCAGAAGTTGGGCACTTATACTGCTTATACCCTCTTGAATGGAAGTAGAGTAGGTACCTACATTTGGTATATATAATAAAATTTTAAAAGCATGTGAAGAACTATAAATTTGAAATAAAATTGTTTGAAATACAAATATTTTGTAAACAGAAATAGTTATTTTAAAATTATTTTCTTCTAAGAAATATGATAATAAGGAGCAATGTATCAAATTAAATATATAACAGTGTGGTGTTTTAATTTTATGTTAAGATATTATATTAAAAACAGAGAAGAAATCATTAAATTTAGAAATTTTGGAAATATTTAACGATGTAATTAATAAAATTCATCATTATCATCATTCTGTCTTTACAACTCTGCGTGGATTTTAGCCTTCTCATGAACTTCTTTCCAGTCGTTCCTATCCATTGCCTTTCTCCGCTAAGTAGGTACGTACAGAGAACTCGTTGTTATTCCATTAGGGTAGGTCCAACAAAACT